CCTGGTTTCAAAACTCCTCTAGTACAGGGTTCTCATTTGTGGTCCTGGGTCACCCTTGTGTCTTCTGGTTGGTGAGTCCTTAATTGATCAGTTATTATTTTCTATATGAGGCCTTTTTTAAAATTTGCTTTCCTAAAAAGCCGAATGAGATGTGTAATAGACGTGAACCCTGGGCTAATCAGCGACTTTCAAGATTGCCCACATTCAGGAGTGTCTGCTGAAATAGAACCATGTGGACTGAAGCAGAAGAAAGAACACTGACTGACTGGTGGCATGTCCCCACCTGTTCGTAAGGGGAGGTACTGAGAGACTGCATTAAGGTCAGGTGCTGCAAGTGTGCACCTCTCAGGTGTCCCACACTATGCACTTTGACACACAGAGGGCACAGTGTAACAGAGCGTGGGGGAGGGGCCAGGTTCATTGCCCAGAGCTGTATGTGCCCAGTCTTTATGCCTTATTTATGCCCCCTTCCCTATGTGGATGTCTACTGCCCGACCTCAACCACTGCCCCGCCCCCGCTGTCTCCACGGTAACGGCGGTGGCAGAGCGTGCGCGCACACTCACGGCAGAGCTCAGGGGCCTCGTCGCTGTTGTCTAGGCAGTCGTTGTCGCCGTCGCACTTCCAGCGCTCCTGGATGCAGCGGCTGTTCTTGCAGGCGAACTCCCCGGCCTGGCACTGCGGAGGCGGGATGTAGGACGGGTTCGCTGTTGGTGGGGAGGGGGGGACAAAAAAGGCAGGAATCGTCTTCGCTCCCACAGGAACCTCTCGGATAATACATCTGCGCGCTCCGCTTTATCACACAGACAAGCCGGGAGCAGAGAGAATCACAGGAGCCACGGGGGCAGCTGGCCTCCGCTGACTCCATCTACAGAGCTGACTTTGGAACGCCAGGCTGTCTCCAAGATTTGAATTCCCAGAATGAAGGAGCTTTATCTTGGGAATCATTCCGACAAAGCCCGGCCAGAGAGAGCGCACACACAAGCACAGTCCATTTCCTCCAAACCATCTCATCACTCTGTTCTCCTCCCTACTGATAGCTGATGTGCAGTGAGGTGGGGCTGCACATTGGTGGTAGTAGTGGGATTCCCCATTATCTATAAAGCGCTTTGACTGGGGTTTCCAGAAAAGAGCTATATAAGTGTAAGGAATAATTATTAGATTCTGTACGGCTGCTCAAAAACTGCACACGTTTCATGAGCGCCTGCAAGCTGAAGCAAGACTGGTGACATTCTGGCAACATTTGCCAGCCGGCTTTAATCAGCTAGAGCCTGCACAGCCTGTTTGGGCTTCACCTTAA